ATCCTATAGTTAGATTTAGGTTTCCTGAATTATTCCTTAGTTCTGCTGCTAAAGACCTAGACTGCTGGAGCACAAACTGACCACATTTCCTCACTCTGCTGCTGTCTTTAGTCTCTCTTCTCTACATGTTTGTTGTAATTATTTCTGTGATGAAGTGAAGATTCAACACAATCTGCTGGTTTCTTTAGATTTAATGTTTTTTTATCTGTGTGTGTACAGTGACCTGAGATGATGCTTGTTGTGACTTGATGCTATATAAATAAACTATTGAATTGAACTAAAGCTTTACCAGATATCTGAACCACCTCACTTGGCTCCTCTGGATGTGGAGGAGCAGAGGCACTATTCTGAGTCTGCCCTTGATAACTGAACTTCTCTCCCTACCTCTACACCCTGCAGAGAAAACTCAATTCAACCACTTGTACCTGTGATCTTGTTCTTTCTGTCACTACCCAAAGTTTGTGAACAAGAAAAAAATACTAAAATAATGTACTCAAGTAAAAATACATTTACTCAGTTCAAAAATCTACTCAAATAAAATAAAACAAATCATTAAAAATTTACTTGAAGTTAAAATTACTTAGTTACTTAATGCACGGAGGACAAGAAGGTTATTGTTTTAAATCAGCTCTTAACTTAAATGAAAAGACTCGTGGTTTATTATCTATCCATTTTATTTTACCTTCTTTTCCTTAATGAGCCACAAGGAGCAGGGGTTTCATGTATGAGTGCACAYGTTTTCATAACGAAAGTGGAAAAGTATGCATGCACAAAAATATTCAGATGTATAAATTGTGCACATGAATGTCTCTGTGCTCCTTTCATACATCCCAACTAACATGGAACTGAGCGCATGTGAGACTCCTCCCCTGCCATGCCTCCATTAGTATATGTGAAACAGAGGCAAATATGTTCAGCATGTGTGATTCTCCTTTCTGCATGATCAGAAATGAATTGCAGGAAAATGTTGAATTAAATGGAGAAATAGTGAGGTGTAAAAATGTATTTGCCARGAACGAAGAAATGGTGATTATGTGGGTGTGCACGCGAATGTGTAAAGCATCTTCACCAGCACATGAGGTTGAGAGACATTTCCACCTTTATACGTCTTTAATAAATGAGCGTAAACACAGAGGAGCTTATAAGTTTAATAGAACTTAGTTGATGTGAAGAAATGAGTCAGAGCGCCTCAATGGAGAGTTTCTGCTGCGAGGTAGAGGACTTATGTTTTAAAATCATGAAGTCATCTCATTCAGCTGCATGGATCAGCTCAGGAACAACAGTAAAATTTGTTTAAAATACACATATTTGTTTTATTTTCCACTTCATTTGACCTTTAAAAGAACACTAACAAATCCAGCTTCTTTTGTGACACACACCAGAAAAGTGATGAAAGAGGAGCTGCTAAAGTTAGAATAAGAAGCAATTCAGACCAAAGCTTTGTAGTTCCACTTTATGAAGACCTCAACTGATTTAAATGTGACAAAGAAGGATTTAAAAGCATGCTATGTCCACTTTAATGGCTGTAAAATTGACTGAATAGTATTCAGTCGTCTTTCATATAATTGCTTTGCTGTGGCTGCCATCTTGAATCCAATTGCCTCCAACAGTTCATCACTTGTAGATGTCAACCCAAATAAACAAAAACATTAAAGTTCAGCCTTCTGTAAATTGAGATTATTACTGCTAACAACAGTGATCTTACTTGAAAGGAGTTGAGGATGATAAAGACATAAGCCACCACCACAGACAGATGGACCAGGACTCCACAAAGCCAGGTCAGACCTAGGACGGGGAGCAGGATGAGAACTGGACGACTCACAGCCCTACAAAGAAAGCACACAGGAATCACATGAAGAGTGGGTTTGAGTTCTACTTACAGAAAATGCAGATGCAAGAAAGTAAATCTCACATTTTGCTACTTAACCATTTGATTTGGGGGTTATTTTTTACCTCTAGCAAACATTCAGAGAACGTGAAGACAGACATGCAGAGTTTTTAAATTATTGTAAAAAAAAAACACTTTATTGAATCTTTGTCATTTTTTAATTGCCCAGTCACCCTTCTGCTCCTTTGCAATAATCCTTTCAACAATTTTGCTGCTTATACGACCAATGACTGTTTCATGGGGCAAGGCGGAAAAGGTTGCCTTTGTTCAAACCACTATTGTTGTCACTCTGCTGCACCTGGAAGGAGAGATTGAGTTTTTCAACTGCGCTGTGTCTGCAAGGACAAAGCTGAATCTCTCTTCTCTTTATTTCCTGAAGCTGTTTTCCCTCCAAGTTCCTGAATTGATGTAACATGGCTGGCATGCACATCAGTCTGTTTGTGAGGGAATGACGAGAGTGGGAACAACATTGTGGCATTTTCATCAGGTTAAATGAAATATACAACAACATCAGCTGAATGCAGAATAACTCAAAGAAGGGCTGGAGGAKTTAAAGCTTGAATTGAAAATAGCACAGATGTTAGATTCTGTCAGACGTATCAGTAAARACTTCATATTATAAAAGATTTTCTTTTCATATATCAGAAAAAAAGTAATATTAGCAATATTTCTGTAACATATACTTTGCAGACAAAATATCTTGTGGGAATTTATTTAATTTGTTTTTCCAACTGTCAAATCATACGTGGCCTTTTATATGGAAGACCAAAACTGACATAATTAAAAATTAAAAGCAGAAATATATAAATGGACCAATAAATAAATAGAAACACTTAAAATGCATTAACTAATTAAAAACAGTGAAACTTTACCTCATTTTTTTACCGTTTAATTAACCTTTATTCAGCTTAGTCCCAACAAACTATTAATTTTAGCACAAATTAAATTTATTGTTTTTAAAAGTACTTTTTTGTTGTTTTTCCTTTTACTTGTAGCTTTTGGGTCTATTTTAAATTAAACTTTTTATTATTTTTTCCACAAATCTTTTTCAATACATGTATTTTGTGCTCAGCTCTCTTCATCGCAAGAGACCAAAACAGAGTCCATACTGCAGACTCTGCACCGATCTGCCTGTTAATGTCACTCTCCTTTCACCCAAATTCTATCCATTGCTTAGTCATATCATTACATGACATGCTTTTATTTAACTGACATTACATTGTAGAAAGTTGGTTTTACTTCATCATTCAAGGGGATTTCTTCTTTTTTTTGTCAAAAAGACCAATTTGTAGTAACAGCAACTGGTTTTTAATAATATGTGCAAGGCACTAAATACTTTTTTATTGGAACTGTGTGGATTAGACTGCCAAAGATGCACTTCCTTCTTTAAATTGGTCAAATGAGTTTAGAGCATCATACCTTTTTTAAATACTGCAGTTACTCACATGACCCAATGTTGCACACTTGCTACAATTTTAGATATTTTARAAAGGTATAAACTAATCTGAAGGTTTTTTTGTATTATTTGTTCATGACAGAGGGTTGGATCAAGTATTGTGGAGGAATACCTTCTAAACTGAGCCTGGCATTACAAATTACCTTGAGCCTAATAGCTGCAAGTGATAAAAGAGTTTCACATAAGAGTACAAACAAAACTAAACATTTCAGCACCAAGAGGTGAAGGGAAGTGCTAATGTTTTTGACCGTGTCTCTGTGTTTGTTTATATACAGTAACAGTCTGTTAGCAAAACATCTCATAAACCKCTTGACAAATTTTAATGACACTTTCAGAAAATTGGATGCACAGCTGCAGCTGATAAACCTTTGAAGTCAGTTGGTTTCAGGATGGCTTCTACGGTTAATTGACATTAAAACCCAAATCTGGCTATAACTCAACAAATTTTACATATAACAAGCAACGGCTCAGTGATTACTACTGATGCCTCACAGCAAGAGGGTCCTGGGTTATTTATTTATTTATTTATTTATTTATTTATTTATTTATTTATTTATTTATTTATTTATTTAGTGGAGTTTGCATGTTCTCCTTGTGCTTGTGTGGGTTTTCTCCAGGAACTCCGATTTCCCCCACAGCACAAAAATATGTTGCCTTCAGGCCTGGGCCTCCTTGCAAAAAATATGTGAGATCTCAATGGAATTCACCTGGTTAAACAACAATAAAAATTACCTAACTTTTGTTGTGGTAGCTGAGTGTCATCCTTGTCTTACATTCTGGGCAATTAAAGGTTGCACAACATGCTTGTTTACTTTTTGCCAATAATAATGTTCATCTAGAACTCATTAACATTTGAAGCCAACTTATTAAAAGATGGTTGTCATAGTCAACACACCTTAGAAAACACAATAATTCATAAACTGGTGAASTTTCCCAGTAATCCAGGTGTAACACCACCAAATAGCTATTTTTTTCTACAATTTGCCTTTTTATACAAATTGTAATTTAATAATATTATTATGAAAACAGATCAAACCAAAACAAATCTTGTGATGAAAGACAGTTTGTTCCTGAACATGACTCTGGTGTTGACTCTGACCTTTCTTCTTCATCGGCCTCCACCTCCTCTGTAGCTGCTGCGGTGGAGGAGAGGAGAAAATACATTTTCATATGCATTCCCTGTGTCCTCCTGTCCGCCTTGCACACAGCGCATTCATGTTGAAAGAGCATGCCAACATGCCGTGGTGTGGAATGTGTGCGAATGTGTTGGGAGGTGGTTGCTTGTCAGGCAAAATTTACATAAATGTGGGGCATTTGTAATATTTAACATGTTTTAACCCAGAAATTCCATGATAGGCCACACACTATACTGTAAAAACTAATACACTTAAAATTATGCCTTTTTTTGTTTGAGGGAAAACCTATTGTCTATATGCACATGTCACTAAGGTCCTCAAGGAGTCAAAGGTGTTTGCCCATCCAGTCTACATGTGCTTTGTGGACTTGGAGGAGGTGTTCGACCATTTTTTTTGAGACACACTGTGGTGACATGTCAGACCACCGTMTGTTGTTATGGGCTATTCATTCAGTCTTAATTCAAGCGCTGTGAGAGTTTGGTTTGCATCGTTGTCAGTAAGTTGGAACCCTTCGGAGTGAGAATTGGATTCTGCCAGGCTGCCTGTTGTCACCAGTTCTGTTCATAACTTACATGGACAGAATTTCTCGGTGCAGCCAGGGGGCGGAGGGAGTCCTGTTTGGTGGCCTCAGGATTTCATCTCTGCTGTTTGCAGATGATGCGGTTCTGTTGGCGTCATCATTTTGTGATCTTCAGCTCTCACTGGAGCGGTTCACAGCTGAGTGTGAAGCAGCTGGGATGAAGATCAGCACCTCCAAATCTGAGTCCATGGTCCTCTGTTGGAAAAGGGTATTGCTCTTTCTGTGTTGGGAATGAAATTCTGCCTCACTGTGGAGGAGTTCAAGTAGAATTTTTGTTCTCGAGTGAGGGAGGAATGGAGCGTGAGATTGACAGCTGGATCAGTGCAGCTTGTGAAGTTTTGCAGACTCTGTATCAGTCTGTTGTGGTGAAGAGGGAGCTGAGCTGTAAGGCAAAGCTTTCTGTTTACTGATCAATCTATGTCCCTCACCTATGTCACAAACTTTGGGTAGTAAAGAACAAGATTGCAGATACAAGCAATCAAAATGAGTTTTCTCTGCAGGGTAACTGGACTCTCCCTTAGAGATAGGGAGAGAAGTTCYGTTATTTGGGAGGGACTCAGKGTAGAGKRGCTGCTCCTCCACATCGAGAGGAGCCAGTTGAGGTGGTTTGGGCATCTGGTAAGGACGCCTCTCTAGAAAGGMGCTTCAGGTATGTCCAACTGGGAGGAGACCCAGAGGACATGCTGGAGAGACTATGTCTTTCAGCTGACCTGGGAACTTCTTGGAGTCCTCAGAGCTGGAAGAGGTGGGTGGGGAAAGAGGTCTGGGCTTCCCTGCTCAACCTGCRGATATGACACAATATATATTTTATTTAAAATAAACTATATGTTAACCCCACAATATTTTTTGTTATTAAAATACTTTGTTCCAACACAGTGTTATGTATTTTATGTATAACATAGACATAGATGTAGTGAAATCCAGGACTAGATAACACAAATTTAGACATCAGTGAATTAACTTACAAACAGCATATATCAAACAAGGACCTCCTTGTCTCTTATGGGGGTGGGAGAATGCTGTTTGGTGTCAAAAATACAAGTAATAGTTTATAATAATTTATTTTAATAAATTAAAATAAATGTCAAATCTCATGTAACACAAAATTATTGAATCCAGAATATTACGCTTAATTAATTATCTTAATTCAGCATCCCTTCAATAAATCAGTCCAATCCAGCTGAATACATGTACTGTAT